TAAATACCACTTCCAAGTTAATTTTTTAAAAAATTCCATGTCAATAGAACAGAACTAGACTATTCACAAGGTTTCTTGGATCCAGTATTGTAACTGTGGCTTCAAATTCTCTCATCCCTTAAGCCTCTCATTAAAAACAAACAAACAAAGAAACAAAAAACAGTCCTTGGCCAAATACAAAGGACAAGGTGAGCACATCTATTCTAGAGGGTCATGAAGGAGGACTGGAGCTTCTTCGCCTGGGGAACTTATTGGGGCCCTGGCACAAATCAAAAAATAAAAAGGATCCAGGCATGGTGGTGCATTCAGGTAATCTTAGCACTCTAGGAGGCTGAACCAGGAGGACTGCAAGTTGGAGGCCACCCTGGGCAATTTAGTCAGACACTTTGTCAGGAAAAAAAAAAAAAGAAAGAAAGAAAAAGGCAAGGAATGTAGCTCGGTATGAAGGTTCTGGGTTTACTGAAGGTACCAATCCCCCACCCCCTCATACACACAAATCAACTAATTAAAATGAAAATGAAAAAGGGCTACTGTAGGGAAACTTGAAAGTACAAAATGGTGGTACTTTGGTATTACAGTTTATGTCTAGATGTTCCCCCCAAAACCTAGGACTTTTTCAGAGGTGGCTGAATCTAGAATGGGCAATGCTGGGATTAAGGGTGCTGGGATTAAGAGTGAGTGATTGCTGGGTCAGTTCACAGACTGGACTGGCTCTGCCCTAATCCCAGTAGCCTGGATACAATACAAGGGAAAGAGTCTTGTCTCTGCCTTTTGCTCTTGTTGCTTTTACTGTCTTCTGCCATCTTGAACTGTTGCCCCTGTACCACGCCACCCTGCCTTGCAGCCAGCTGGTCATGGACTGAAACCTCTGCACACTGTGAGCTAAGTAAAGCCTTACCCCCTCTAACTTCGAATGTTGGGTATTTTCTCTCAGCAATGAGAGAAAAGAGACTAAGATATATCTGCTTAAGGCTGTGGGATCTGGGATATAGTAGGGTTCTGTGTCCACAGAGCTCTGGTGCAGGTATATGTCCTGATGCCCCAGTGAAAACAGCATCTGTGCCCAATGTCAGTGCTGGCTGGTGTAAATAACCCACATAGCCACAGCTGTTACTAGGACGTGGCTACTATAGTGCATTTTGGTATTAATGTAGACTAAGCACCCAAGGAGAATGGGCAGGGTTGTGGGCCTGAGGACTACAGGGACTGTACAGAGGCTGAGGTCACAAGAGCAGCTGAATAGCAGGTGGACTATGGCTAAGCAGCTGAATAAAAAGTGTTTAACCAAGTGCACAGCTCTGTGTCTCTTGTGAGGGCTGCCTGAATCTCCAGGGAATCCTCCTAGTATGACCTGGTGACAAAACAGCTAGGGATACCATTCAGTGTACACCATTTCATATGAATGACAACATTCTGTGAGGAAAAACAAATAGGATTTTTCATTTTTCCATTTAAGAAAGGATAGTTATTAAATCAGCTCAGGTAGGAAAGACAGAAGGTTAAAAGTGATGAAAAAGAAACAAAGAGTATGGTGATAAAGGAAACAGAGAAAAGAAATGTAAGAACTGCTACTGAACTGCAAGAATGCTGAGGCTGGAAAGGAAGGTTCATGCTCCACACGTGAGGGCCTTCTGCAATAGAACCTGCTTTCCCCAGGAAAACAGCTCTAGAAACCCCAAAGAACTGTCGCAGGTTGCTACTCCACAGGGCAGGGTTTCTTCAAGTGGATTTGTTGACCAGCAGCATTTAAGAATGAATCAGCTGGATGGTTAACACATCTCTGAGTCCCACCCCAGACTTCCTGGAGCAGAATTTCTGGGAATGAGACCCTCAAATTTGCCTTTTCAACAACCACATTTCATGCACAGCTAAGTTTGGTTATCACCACCATGAGAAGGCCTTGTGCCCCATGCGATCAGCCTGTAGTAGTCCCCCTCTGTTGTCAGGACACAGGAACTGCTGGTGACACAACTTTCCTCCTGATGGTTGTTTTACCTTTCCATAGTACATGCAGAGGAAACAAGAAAAATGTCTTCTGGGTACTCATTAGCTTAAGTCTCGTGCTGGGAGTAGACCTAGCCAGAGCCCTCCAAACTAACCACAGGATCAAAACCAATGCTTGGAACATGACACAGGCAAAAACAGCATCAATACTTAAACATTTTCTCCAGCATTTCTGTTGTTCTTTCAACTCTTAGAAGGAAACAACATAATAAAACCTGGCATAGCAAAACATGAAATGATTTCTAAATGCTTACCTGAGCACATAAAGAATTTTTTCCAGGTGTTTAATGTCCGAACATTTTTCAATATACTTGAAATCCAAATGTTCAACAGGAATGTTAAATGTTTTTGTTGTTCCAAAGCCACATAGTGATGGGTGATCTTTGGCAGTCATGGCTGAAATATAGTGTAGGAAAATGGATGTGAACCTCTGTTTGGATAGTAGTATCCATCTGGGCACTCCAATAGGAACAAAGGTAGAGTGGTGTTTCTAGGATGAAGGCTACTCATTTTGAAATTTCTCTCCCTGATAATATTTATGGAGATAAATTACTGTGTATTACATATGGATCATCTCATCCAACTTCATTTAAACAAACTGGGATATAATGACAAGCTGGCCTGGGCATTCAAATTGGTATTTATTTATTTATTTATTTTTGTTTTGTTTTTTGAGACAGAGTCTCACCATGTATTTCAGGCCAGCCTTGAACTTGCAGCAACTCTCCTGCCTCAGACTCCCAGTGCTAGGGCTAAGATGACAGGTGTGCACCACTCACTGTCCCTGGCTTTTTTATTTCTTTTTCAGACAGTGTCTTGCTATGTAGTTTAGACTGGCCTTGAGCTCACCTTGTAGCCCAGGATAGACTTGAACTCGCAGGGATCTTCCTCCTCACCTCCTATGCTAGGATTAGAGGAATGATCCATCACACCTTGTTCAAATTAGTGTGTGTGTGTGTGTGTGTGTGTGTGTGTGTGTCTTTTTGAGATGGTTTTACCATGTAGGTCAGACTGGCCTTGAACTCACTTTATAGACCAGGCTCACCTTGAACTCCCAGTGATCCTCCTGCCTCCACCTCTCAAGTGCTAGGATTACAGGCTTGTACCACCATGCCTGGTCTCAAATTACTTTTTAAAATACCTTTTAAAATTGATTTTGAATGAATTTATACTTTAGCAATTTACAATATCCCAATTATTTGAGTTGGTACAAATACAAATAATACCCTTTTTGTAGTATTTTTTTTCCATCTCTTAACTCACTACGTTTCCCACACTGCCATTTACTCCCATTAGTGAATAGTTCCCAGGATTATATTCTAAAACACTTTGTAAATACATAGGCAGTGCTTTATATTCTTTAAGAAATACTTAGTGATTTTAATTGGGAATAAGAAGGGATTAGACTCTTTTTTAAAAATGGAACTGCTGCTAACTTTGGAGATAATAATCCCTGCTATGCTGATATAGTTCTGGGCACTATCCTAAGCATAAATGATTTATAACATATAACATATAAGTATATGCTTAACACTTATTATTTAATCCACCAACTACTGTATCAGGTAGGCTTTCTTTTATATAAGAACAATAGTAACAGTTGACATTTATGGAAGTGAATTACCATGTGCCACGTTACCTTGCTTAACTTTCAAAACCACTCTTATGAAAACTATTAATAACTCTTCTCAGGGCTAGGTGTGTAGCTCAGGGGTGGGACAACTGTCTAGCATGTGTGAGGTCATGCATTCAATCTCCAACACCAAAAATAAATAAATAAAATGATAATGTTGGTCATTACTCCTATTTTATAGATAAGAAAATTAACAAGTCCACTGAAGAAATGAATCTCAGTAGACTAGAGTCGTGTACTTAGCCACCATACCTGTGCTTTTTAAACTACAAATGCCAAATAATGAAATCAATTTAGTGAGTTGCAATCAGCATTTTTTTTTAAAAAGTGACAAAGTTTATTTGAGAAAGTAAAAGAGAAGAGTTGGGGAGAAGGAGGTTCTGTGGAGCAAACTTGGCTGAGTAAAAGAGGAAAAACAAGACAAAAGAACACCTTGGAGAAAGCAAGGTGGGCTACTGTGGGGCAAGGACACAACAGCAAGTTGTTTTTGTGGGGGCCTCTCCTTTATGCTGTCCGAATCTCAAGGCAACCCATTAGAGTGTCTACATACAGGTCCTGAGAGGTAGTGCTGGGATAGCTAGCACACCTGAGGTTGACTTCAGGTCTAGGGTGATTGACAACCTGCTCCAGTTCTCAGAAGTCCATGTGAAAGGCTTTAGGACCTGTTCTGCGCATGTGTCCAGCATCTTGTAATCAGCATTGTTTTACAATGAGATAAAACTGAATTTTAAAAGACCACCTGCAGAAGAGATATCATGTCTGCATCTTGTCCTCTGAATAACTACTGTGAAGACAATATGCAATGTATTAATTATTGTACCCATCCTACTAACCTGTTTTGAAACCGTTTCATTGCTATTTTATCTTTTTTCTCATTAAAATGAATAAAAATAGACCATCTGGCATATAAAATTAAAAATTCTTTTATAAAATTTTTATTCCATGTCTATATAAATGGAAATTATGTGTATGTAAATATGTACATGGTTGCAAAGTGAAATATATTTTTGAGAGTCACTGTTAAAGTGTTTTTGAAAATTGTACTAAAACTTATTGGGTGATCACTTTTAAAAACAGAAGTAAAAATAAGTCTAAATCATAGAAGCATTTCAGCATGATTTCCCTCTGGGGATCTTGTTATATATCACACCTGTGCAGAGAAAAAGACCTCTCACTTTCTCCACATTCCTTCTGGCTTAGAACTGGGCAAGGAGTAGACACACTTCTTGGGCTTTGGGATGCAACCCAGCTGAAAAATTAGATTGGTTTTTACACCATACCACAGGGCCCAGAATGACACGTGGCTCCCTCACAAGGATATAAGAGTGAAAGTAACAGGGAAGAAAGGGGAAGAACTTTTAAATTATTGATGACACCGCACAGAATAGAAAGGGGTGCCTTGGGAGAATTTTCCAAAGAGCTAGAGGATCTTTTGTGAGATAGAATTAAGCATCTAATG